TTATAAATGAACTTCTCAAACTGATTACCAACATAATTTTATTATCCAAATGAAAAAAACACATATTTATATCTATAAGAAAAATTACCTGACCATAATAATAAACCCTATTTTTTGAAAAGTTCATTATTTACATATTACCTTTCAAAGGGATGTGTATGTCGGTTTGATGAAAAAAACTATTTTCAAATTATTCAAATTATCCAAATGTATTATGATGCTTATAACTTACAATTTCTGTTTTCATTTCCTTTAAATATTCCCTGCCCCAGAAAACCTATAAAGGCAAATTTTCAGAAATAAAAACAAATGTGTATCTTCTCCACGCATTCAATAAATAATTAGTCTATGAACAGGTATGTCCTCCTTCCAGATGCTCAGCCTTCCACTAGCTTCTTCAGATTTATTAGTAATGAACACAACAGAAATTCTTGCCTTCAGGGAGTTTCAATTTTAGAAAGATTAAACAATAAACTATAATTTAAAAAGAAACACAAATTTCATTGTATTTTTAAAGCCGTTAAGTGCTGTGGAGAAAGGGAACAGCATAAAGGAGAGAGAAAAAAGAGGAGGTTTCCGTTTTGAATCATGTGGTCACCAGGGTGGACTCCACTAAGAAGATGCCTTTTCAGCTAATGAAAGGACTTTAGTTTTACATCAAGTGAGGTGAAGGCTTTTAAGTAGAGGAATAATTTTCTTTTCTTACTACTCAATAAGAATTGAGTGTCAAAAAGAATACCAATTTCATTTAAGAGTGTGGAGGTAGTATTATCAAAAATGTGTTGGGGGTAAGCTATAAAACAACCACTGTATCCCAGATCTGGGACCCAAGGCAAGCGCTGAAGTGTGAAGATGCCATCTATCCCTCAAAGGGCTGTTCCCTCCACAATACGCCTCCATACTGACTGTCTTCACACGCCAATAGTCCCTCATCCACATTCCCAATGCTGAATATCAAGAAGTTTTAAACCCAATTTGGTGGCAAAATCAAACCCACATTCATGTGAGACGGTTTATAGCCTTGATTTATCCCATTTGGCGAAAATAAACATGAAGAAACATTAACCCTCATAATTTAGGTAAATTTTAAATATCCTAAGCAATGAGAAGTCATAGGCACATCTATATGTACACACACAAAGTATCTGCAAACTCCCCTATTTTATTGAATATAGTGGAGTTGTATCATATAGCAATCTATCACATTCAATTAAAACAGCCATGCTTTTAAAAAAAGAAAAACACACTTCCCCCAAAAGTAAAATTCTACCTAGTATAACTTGGAGTAAGATGGAAAATACGAATCTACTGCCACAGATTTGGATTTTACAGTTTAAAGATACGTATCTGTCATTCGACATGTCCCCTAAACACTGGCTAATTGATTTCTCTGATGTTCAAGCAAAGAAAATGCTACTTATTCCAAAACAGAAGGAAAAATAGGCTGTTTGAAACTTACTTAAAGATAGTACTTCAGCATTTCACATGGCCCCTTTCTCTTGGATTTTTAAGGGTGATTTTAACTAGTCATGAACCGGACTAAAGCACTGTCTTTTAAAAACCCAAAATGTAACTCTATAGCTGTGCTGTCTAATATAGCAACCAGTAGACACATGTGGCCCCTGTGTGCTTGAATGATGACTAGTCAGAATTCAGAGAGCCGTGAGTCAAAGCACACACCAGGTTTCAAAAACTCAGTATAGATTTACATTCTTTTTGAATGCAAAATATCTCATCATTTTATATTGATTTTTTATAGTGACTGAAAGGATAACATTTTGCAGATACTGAGTTAAATCAAACATATTATTAATTTCACCAGTTACTTTTAACCACAGCTACTAGAAACTTTAACATTTAAAATGTAAAGTTACATAACGCAGCTCACATTATACTTCTAGTGAACAGCACTGCTCTATAGGAAAGACCTAGAAAAAGATTAATTTCTCAAATACTTATCTGCTAGGATGAGTGATATCAATTTTTATCACCAGAATAATAAAAACACAAAGGTCACAAGAAACACCTGTCAGGAATGCTGAAATAAGGGTTTTGTAACTCAAAAGTATCTATTACTTTAAATATTCAGAGAGGTGTCCAAATATTCAATAATTAAAAAAAGCCTTCAATATGTGTTATGTCTGATTTGCTTCAAAATCCGCTTTCAGTATTTCCGTCATACGATCACAAGTACATAGAGCAGGGTTTTGTGTCCTAGTTTCCTTCACTAGGGTTAGAACAAACCCAGGTTTTGTGAGCCAAACACATATTATAATGGAATCAGAAAATAGGTAACTTATTTTTTAACAGATGGGAAAATTTAAATAACTCCTAAGAAACAACTTTGGAGTTTACACTAGGTCAAAGAAAAATAAGTCTCTCTAATTATAAAACCTACCATTAACAAAAGACACACTGATCGACATTTCCTAAATATTCTTAAAAGCACTCTAAGTACCTATTACTCTAAACACATGCATGCCCCACCACTCAGCAGCAGTTCCATTCCCGTGCTGACACTGTACTCATGAGAAATCAACGTTTATTTCTACCAAAAGATCCAAAAAAGTTCACAGCAGCCTTATTTGTAGCCACAAACTTGAAAGAAAACTAAACGTCCATTTACAGTGGAATGGATAAATGGTGGTATAATCATAGAACAGAACACCGACAATTTAGGGGGAAAAACAAATAACATGCACAACATGGATGACTCTTACAGACATAATGTTGATTAAAAAAACACAGACACGCAAGATTTCATATGACATGCTTCCAACTTTATATAGTTTAAAACAGGCCAAACTAACCTATAGCAGAAGATGTCAAAGACTAGTTTCTGCTGGGTACAGGCAGGATTGATTAGAAAATACACAAATATAATAAGCCTTCTGGAGTAGGGTGCTAGTTACTCAGACTATACTTATATAAAAAACAATCAAGTTAACAAATAAGGGTGTCTATTTGATTACGTGAAGTTACACTTCAGTAGGTTTTGTATAAACAGAAGAAACTTTTTCTTAAAAGGACCTTATGCATTACGATTCCTTTTCAAAATAATTACTTAAAACTAATTCTTACCTTGAATATACATGAGAATTTGTCGATTTAATCCTTCAGCTAAACTTTCCATTTCTTTGCAGTTTCTTTTTAGTAACTATCAACTCTATTGAAACATACATTTAATTCTGAGATATGACAACATTTCATGAATTGATAATTCATATTATCATTAAAATTATAACTTCCATCTTTAAAGCTAAGTGTGAATGTTTATACGAAATATTTATAATAGTTCATTCTCATCTTTAATTTGAAAAGATAACTCTAAATTCCATAAAATCCAGTTTCTGATTATATAATTTATTTTACTGGATAAAGTGTATATTAAATTTAACTTATTTTGGGGGTTCGTTTACAAGTCCTTTCACAGACCTAATTTGCTTGTTTAAATTTCTTCCTTGCTTTTGCCTTTCCCTCGTAACTGACAAGAAGAGGAAGAATATGTTGGTTTGCCAATAAATAATAATCTTAAACACAGAGTTTCCATTTTAAAAGTTCAATGCAGCGTACTGGGGAGACTTACTAAAAGACTATGTTCAACCAATCCTAGAAATTCACACTGCTTGATGGTGATTAAGAAAATCTGTAAAAACTGATTTTTGTGTTATTTCATATGAATAAAAATCATGAATATTCAGCTAATAAAGTTAAATCTGTATTACAGTAAAAGAAGGTGGCCAATTCACTACAATCTTAACAAATACATTATTTTATTAGATGTATTTACGCATCCTTCCTTCATCTGTTTCTATTCCAAGCAAGACAGCTGGCAAAAGTTTTCGAGAAGGAAAACACAAGATACAGAGGAGGTATAAGGTTGAACATTAAGAAGGATGCCTTGGATATAGATCAAGAAGACTATGTTCACCACTGACATTAGTCAAATTGGCTGGCATATCCATATGTGGTCTATGAAGTATGCTATGGTCTGAATGTTGTATCTCCCCAAAATTCACAAATTGAAACCATATTTGCAATGTGAGGGTGATTTGGAGGTGGGGACTTTGGGGAGTGATTAGATCATGAGGGGAATGCCCTTATGAACAGGATTAGTTCATAAAAGAGGTCCCAAGAATCCTCTGGCCATCTCCACCCATGTGAGGTTACAGCAAGAAGTCAGCCGTCTATGAGGAACAGGCCCTTACTAGACATTAAATCTCCTGGCACCTTGGTCTTGGACTTCTCAGCCTCCAGAACTGTGAGAAATAAACTTCTGTGGTTTACAAGCCTCTCACCTATGGTATTTGTTACAGCAGCTCAAATGGACTAAGATAAGACAAAGCACAAAGTGAGTAAGCTTCTCAAAAGATGATTTTAACATAACCTTCCTTCCTAGTAATACATCGCATGTCCTGACACTCTGGGTCTACAAGCAGATAAATTATTATGCTGTTCCAATCTATCCACAAATGATCATGCAAAGAGGGAACTTAGCAAATGGATGTTCAGGGGCAAAACCAGGAGGCCTGGCTGAGTCTATCCATGGACCCTGATGATAGACTGATCCAAAAGCAGATGGCAGCTGATCCCTGCACTAGAAGGTGGAGCTGTCGCAGGCAGGAATAATTTTAAGACTGCCTGAATGTTTCAGGTATACTTCACACTGTCTTAGGTAAAAAGGAACTTTATGTATCTCATTTTCAAATCAAGACATTCTTTAAAATAGTTCTATACTAGTAAGGTAAAATGTAAATACCTCATGTTTAAAATAGGTAAAACTGGTTTACTCTAAACCAGACATTTTATTCGATTACACAACATTTTGATTTACCAAAATTGAAATATAACCTTCTTTGTGACAAATGGCAAAGTAGTTTATCAATATCTAAAAATTAAAGAAAAATAACAAAATGTGACATGACATAGTCTTACTTTTCTACAATTGGAAAGTCTTGATAACATTTTAAAAAGTGGGGCAATGAGACAAAAGACAATACCTTCTGGCTGTGTTTCTCCCAAATGTTAAAATAATGAGTCCTGAGAACAGAGTTCTGAAATAGCTCACAATCCAAACACTTCCTGAAAATTAAGAGAAATAAGTGTTACTTCAAGTGCACCTTATCTCAAAGAGTTGTTTTACAATGGAATTTTAATTACTAACTAAATCATCTCAAAAAACAACAAAAAGATGTATTACAAGGTAAAAAAAGTATTCATATTCTTCATGATACACGCTTTCTTTGGACACAGTTGTAGACCACATGTAACAGAACAGCATTAATTACAGAATTATTTGCCAAAATACACTACCCTTTTTTTTTTTTTTTGAGGTGGAGTCTCCCTCTGTCACCCAGGCTAGAGTGCAATGGCGTGATCTCAGCTCACTGCAACCTCCCTCCGCCTTCCAGGTCCAAGCAATTCTCCCACCTCAGTCTCCCAAGTAGCTGGGATTACAGGTGCCCAGCACCACGCTCAGCTAATTTTTGTATTTTTAGTAGAGATGAGTTTTTGCCATGTTGGCCAGGCTGGTCTCAAACTCCTGACCTCAGGTGATCTGCCCCCCTCAGCCTCCCAAAGTGCTGGGATTACAGGCGTGAGCCATCACACCCAGCTAACTACCCATCTGTGTTTATTTTACTGTAAAGACTGTCCCTATTGTTGATGATGTAAAAAGTTAATGTCAAAGATAAAGAGGAATTTCAGTCAAGGCTTCTGGGAGAAAAAGTATTAGAATTATTTAACAGTCACTGCACAGTTTGAAACACCTCATCTCTTTTCTGTACCACTAGGAACAGAAAATGTTAAACTCAGAATTAGAACCATACTAGATACAGAATGACACTGATGTGGAAAAGTTCATACTACCAAGAACAAAAGAGTGGATCAAAGTTTTTGGCCAGCAAGGGATGGAGCAAACAATTTAACATTTAAGAAACTTTATTTTGGTCAACAGGCCAATGGACAGTGCCTGAGTACCACGCTGGTTGGTACAGGATGTCAGAGAGCAACACCAGAGTCCCAACTCATCTGGCTAGAAAGGACACCTACCACCCAGCCAGGCTGATTGTCTGGGCCGGGGGGATTAGGAGAGCGTTGAAATAGATACTGGAGGAGTCTTAGTGATGAAGAACTGACAGTGAATGAGTGGATGAGAGAGAGTGTGCATGCGTGTGTAGTAGTAATTAAGGGCATATATTTTTCACTGCAGTTGGTCCATCTAAAACTACGATCTTCTCTTTTATGATATTATTTTTACTTAAGCCTGGCATGTTAATTGATTAAGGCTCTATGATTAATTGATGTCATTTATCAGACATTTACGGAGTATCAGCTGTATACCTTGCACCATGCGGGGTACTGAGGGTTCACAGACACAGGCAGAATAACAATAAGCAAGATACAGACTAACTGACCTACAGGTATAGTGGTGAAGAGCCTGCTTGGTTAGGATGTTGGGGAAGTATTACTCTAAGAAATTTGTTACCTTTATGTGGTTTTAAGAGATTGAAGGGCCCCCAGTAAAATGAAAGGAAATGAAAAAGAGTTATTTTGGGAGGTTAGAATTCAGGTTTACAGATTTATTTTTATTCAAAGCTATAATCCTTGAGAACTGATCACAGGTTCTAGGCTAGGAATTGAGAGTTCTAGAAGTGTAAGTCAGATCTAAGTGGCGTATCTGATAGAAATGGAATGCTGCTATGGTGGTATCGGGGAGTTTGCACGGTACCGCCCTTATCACCAGTAGCTTCACTGTCCATTGGCCTGTTAGCATTTTACCCACAGTAGAACATCTTTCAAGATGGGAGTCAATCCTCTCAAACCCTGCCACTACTTTATCAATTAAGTTTATATGATATTCTATATCCTTTGTTGTTATTTCAACAATGTTCACACAGTATCTTCAATCAGGAGTAGAACCCAGCAAAGTTATCCATAAGGGGTGGAAGCAGCTTTTTTCAAACTCCTATTAATGTTAATATTTTGACCTCCTCCCATTAATCACAAATATTCTCAATGGCATCTAGAATGGTGAATCCTTTTCAGAAGGTTTACAATTGCCTTTGCCCAGATCCATCAGAGGATTCACTACCTATGGCAACTATAGCTTCACAAGATGCATTTCTTCAATGGTAAGACTTGAAAGTTGAAATTATTCCTTGATCCACAGGCTACAGAACAGATGCTGTATTAACAGCCATGAAAATGAACATTGACTTCCTTGTGCATCTCCATCAGAGCTCTTGAGTGACCAGGTATACAGTCAATAAGCAGTAATATGTTAATAGGAATCTTTTTTTTTTTTTTTTTCCTGAGCAGTTGGTCTCAATAGGGGGCCTAAAATATTCAGCAAACCATGCTGTAAACAGATGTTCTGTCATCCATGCTTTTTCTTCCATTTATATAGCATAGATAGAGGAGATTTAGCATAATTCTTAAGGGGCTTAGGATTTTTGGAATGGCCAAACATTGGTTTCCACTTCAAGTCACCAGCTGTATAATCCACTAACAAGAAAGTCAGTTTGCCCTTTGAGGTTTTGAGGCCAGGCATTGGTTTCTCCTCTCTAGCTATTCAAGTTCTAGATGGCATATTCATCCAACAGAAGGCTGTTTCATTTACACTGAAAATCTGCTGTTTAATGTAGACATCTTCATCAGTGATCTTACCTAGATCTTCTGGAAGCTTGCTGTAGCTTCTACATCAGCATTAGCTGTTTCATCTTGCACTTTAATGTTATCCAGGCAGCTTCTATCCTTAAACTTCATGAACAAACCTCTGCTAGCTTCCAACTTTTCTTCTGCTGTTTCTTCATCTCCCCTCAGCCTTCGTGGAATTAAAGAGAGTGAGGACCCTGCTCTGGATTAGGTTTTGGCTTAAGGGAATGTTACGGCTGCTTTGATTTTCTATGCAGACTACTAAAATATTCTCCATATTAGCAGTAAGGCTGTCTATTAGTCTGTTCTCACACTGTATGAAAAAATGCCCGAGACAGCGTAACTTATAAAGGAAAGAGGTTTAATTGACTCACAGTTCCGCATTGTTGGGGAAGTCTCAGGAAACTTACAATCATGGCACAAGGTAAGGGGAAAGCAAGGCACCTTCTTCACAAGGCAGCAGGAAGGAGAAACGCCGGGCAAAGGGGGAAAAGCCTCTTATAAAACCATCAGATCTCGGGCGGGCGCGGTGGCTCACACCTGTAATCCCAGCACTTTGGGAGGCCAAGGCAGGCAAATCACAAGGTCAGGAGATCGAGACCATCCTGGCTAATATGGTGAAACCCCGTCTCTACTAAAAATCAAAAAATTAGCCAGGCGTGGTGGCGGGCACCTATAGTCTCAGCTACTCAGGAGGCTGAGGTGGGAGAATGGCGTGAACCTGGGAGGCGGAACTTGCAGTGAGCCCAGATCGCACCACTGTACTCCAGTCTGGGCAACAGAGCAAGAGGCTCCGTCTCAAAAATAAATAAATAAATAAATAAATAAATAAAACCATCAGATCTCGTGAGAACTCACTATCACGAGAACAGCAGGGTAACTGCCCCTGTGATTCAATTACCTCCACTGGGTCCCTCCCAGGACACATGGTGAGTATACGAACTACAATTCAAGGTGAGATTTGGGTGGGGACACAGCCAAGTTACATCAGGCTGCTCTGTGTTCTTATCATTCATGTGTTCACTGGAGTAGCACTTTTAATTTCCTTTAAGAACTTTTCCTTTTACATTCACAACTTGGTCAACTGGCACAAGAGGCCTAGCTTTCAGACAAGTTTGGCTTTTGACATGCCTTACTCACTAAGCTTAATCTTTTCTAGCTCTTGATCTAAAGTAAGAGACCTACAACTTTTCCTTGCACTTAAATACTTAGAAGCCATTATAGGGTTATTAAATGGCCTAATTTCAATACTGTTGTGTCTCAAGGAACAGGGAATCCCAAGGAAAGGGAGATGAGATGGGGGAACAGCCAGTCTGTAAAGCAGTCAGACCACACTTAACAATTAAGTTCGCCAACTGATATGGGCACAGTTCTTGGTACCCCAAAACAATCACAACAGTAACACCAAAGATCACTGATTACAGATCACCGTGACTTATATAATAATATGAAAACGTTTTAAAAATTGTGAGAATTATCAAAATGTGACCACAAAGACACAAACTGAAAACATGCTGTTGAGAAAATGGTACTTGCTCAACGCAGGGCTGCCACAAACCTTCAATTTGTAAAAAACAAAATTATCTTCAAAGAGCAACAAAGTGAAGCACAATGAAAGGAAGTATACCTACACACCAGCAACACCAAAGCTATCCTACATCATTAACAGGGTATGTCACCTATGTGTATAAGTCAAAGATACCTGGAATCGTAACTACGGGCAGCATGTTCCAAAATCTTAGTTGACAGAAGGCATCTCCTCAAGATAGAGTTTATAATTATCACACAAAAACAAACAGAACCTGAAGAGACCTCCAGGTGATTAAGGGAAAAAAAAAAAAAAAAAGCATTATCATTTCCTATTAGGACATTACTTTTTCAGGAGCTAAATAAAAACATTACCAAATCATTTTATGTAATAAAATTTAACTTTATTTTGACCTCCCTCATAAAGCAAATAAACCTCTCTATCCAATAAGGTTTCATCTGAACTATGTAAGATGATAGGCAATACCTTAATTGCATTCATTTACATGACTTTGAAACTATTCTGGGCTGAAGTCACTGACTGCAAGGTCACAGAATACAAAAAAGTAGAATGCATGCAATTTACCAAGGAGAAATGATCCACTTAGACAGCGTGGCAGCACCTTTTCCATCCTTCATTAGGGGATACTAAATACTTAATGCAATCAACAGGTGCAGACATCTCCATTTAAAATATATCACACAAATACATACACACACACACACGTATTCATTTTACAAATATATAAATAACATTAAAATATATATTTAAGTCCATCATATATTATGGTTTTCTTCTTAAAATTAATCTGCCTAAATAGAGGTAAAGCACAATTCTACACTCTAATAGCATTTAGAATCAAAATACAATATAGGGCTATTATTTTTCCATTGTCTTG